AAGCAGCACCGCCCCCCACCAGCTATTTATAATAATTGAAAGTACTTGCAGCTTTTTTAACAGTGTAACAAGTTTAAAGTATTTTTTATTTAATAATACATTAAAATAAAAAAATAATTATTTTAAAAATATATAAAAATTTAATTTTAAATAAATAAATTTATAATTTATAAAAACACGATTTATATCACATTTTCAAACTTTATCTTAAAATAATTAGAACTTTATCTTAAAATAATTAGAAGATAAGATGCTATTTTAAAATTTTAAATTAATAAAATAATATTTTAAATAATATAAATATATTTTTTTATTATTATATATATTCTATTAAAAAAATTATTTTAAAAGCTGAATGTATTAAAATAAAAGAAATAATATTTTTTCAATGAGTTTAATAATATGGTTATATTTAATTGTTTTATTTTTTTATTAATTTTTTTTGTGAGTTTTGATTTTTTTTCTTAAAAAATATATAGATATAATGTTTTTGAAAAAAATATATTAATATTTTATTTAGCACTCCTATTAAACCAAGAAAAATAAGCATAAAAAAATAAAATTATATTTTTATATTTTTAGCTTTTCATTTATCACACCCAAGCTGCTAACATTAACTTTCTGGCAAAACTAAATAGCCGCGGAATTTGGAGACTTTTAATTCAAACGGTAGGTGACTAATAAGTGGGTTTCTGACTACATATTATTTAGTATTTGAATTTTAAGAAAGGTCGTAAAATAAATAAAAAATTGTAAATAACTAAATATAATGGTTTGGGTACATAATTATTTTTTTTTAAAAAAAAGTCTACTAAGAACCCAAATTGTGAAGAAATTAATTCTAGGGAGGAAAAACTACCTCTAGATTATCTTATTACTAGGATAGTATTAATTTCATACTTAAATAAGTATTATATTAATAATTATAAAAATATAATTTAGCTAATAAATTTTAAATTTATTTTTTAAACGTTACTGACTTAAATTTTATAAATTTCAGAATTATTAAAGAATTATATTATCATTAAATTTAAAAATTATAGGATTAGTTGGAATATATATAAACTAAACAAAATATCAATATTAATCTAAATTTTTTTATTATTATATCAATATTATTCTCAAATAGGGTTTTCTCAAATAATTCATTAGTCTTAAGAAAAAGAAAAAGAAAGTCAAATTTATATGGAATCTATGATCAATATGAATGGAAACATAATATTTCCAGATTGCTCTGAGATGGTAAAGAATGGACGAGACAACTCCATTTTCTGCAGCTTCATGTCCTGACCTTGAGAGGATTCCATCTGGTGTTGCTCTTGCGAGGAATTCTGCTAACACCATAGAAGGGAATGCAGACCTACCGGAGGTTGAAGACAAAGTCTTCTTCTTCTTTTTTAATCCACTCCGTTCAGACTTTACCTCCTTTGGAGACCAAGAAGAATCTCCTTTGGATTCATTTTCAAATGACCTATTTCATATAGCTTTTTACTCGTTGAGTATTTGATATGGGTTTAAGAATCTTAAATGAATTATTTCTTAAAATCCTATATTCTTAATTAATTCTACTCTTATTATGTTTTGTTTTTAATTCAATATAAAAATTATGTTTTGTTTTTAATTCAATATATAAGAACATGGTGTCTTTTATTTATTTTTTAAATTAGTTGAAATGTTTTTAGAAAATATTTGATTACTGTCTTCCAAAAGAAAAGGAAATAATAAGATAAAGAGGATGATTTCCTGCAAAAGAAAATTTATTTTAGATACATATTATTTTATGTATATTTTTTAAAAAAATTAATATAAATTATATCTTGAAATTTTATTTAATAATTTAAATTTTTATATTAAATTAATTTTTTAATATAGCATCAGAATTTTAATAATTTAGTGGTTACAAATTCAAATTTTATTATTTTTATTTATTTAATAAAAATTAAGTATAAATTAATATAAATTTGTATAAATTTTAAATTTTTTTACTTGAGAAATGTTTTAAATATTAATATAACTCAATTAATAATTTAAATTTTTAGATTTATTAGATTTTATTAGTTCTTTCATAACCTTTTCTCTTTCTCCCGACTCTATCAATTCATTATTTTATTTTATATCTTTATATTTATATTTTTAATTTTTTTAACTAACCATATTTTTATCAATTCAATATAAACTAAATGTTATTTTTTGATGCTACTTAGACGATATCCTAGGGTATGTTGGAATAAAGTACTGGAGATATGAAATAAATATCTTGATCATAGTTTTTATCGAACAGCTGTTATATTGCCTTAAACTATCGTAGCAATTATTAAACAAAACTCCGTACCAGTCTAAGATTTTTATAAATGTGCTTGCCGATACAAGTTCTGGCTTCAACTACTAATGATTTTTGTGACAAAATTACTAGCTAGTCTAAAATTTATGATCATTATGATCTATGAAAACATCTTTCAAGTAGATATAAACACCTTCCACAAAATTAATGAAAGCAATAGTCTCCATCCGTGCCTCAGCATCAATCTTGCAACGAACCACGGTGGGCATGAACAACCACATGGCAGTAACCACCACAAACCCCACCACAAGAGGTGCTGCCACCACTCTAGGCAACCCCCATGTACCCTTTATTACTCTCTTAATACCTATTTCAATATCCAAGCAAAAACCATGCAAGAGAAAGAAGCATGTGACCTCCCACTTTGGCTTTTGGCGTCCAATGTGGTAGAAAATCAGCTCGTGCATGAGACCAGAGACCAAAAATGTACCCATCACAGCTGGTAATGAAGCCCACGTTTTTGCAATCCAATGGCTAAAAGTTGACCGGATTGGACTGTATACAGTTGGATGCAGGATGCTAGTGACCATTAGGTTCCATCTCTTACCCCAGAAGTCTTGCAAAGAGCTGGCGAGGTATGGCTCATCAAATTGTGGCTCGAGTTCTACACCGAGACAGGCTCGAGCTAGGGCTCCAAACATGGCCAAGATTAATTCTAGAGCAATATAAATGTGGATAACATAGAGGAACAGTATAAATTTTGGATGGACATAGTCTTCCTTGGTATAGATGAAACCAAATATGACTAGTAGGAAAAACTTCAAGGCGTAGTTTAGATGAGATTTAAGGCCTTTTGGGGCGATTTTTTGAGATGGGGTGTCTTTGTTTTCAACATTCACGAGCTTCTCAAGATCTTGATTATCATCAACATTTACAAGCTCTTGATCATGAGGTGATACTGTTGGTGTAGGGTCTTGTTGAATCTTGATAGGAAAGCAAGCAAAGGCAAGGAAATGTGGCAAGGAGAGGGGCGGGTTGGATGATAGAGGGCCTTGATCGAAGACAAAGAGAAGGAGCTTGAAGTTGGCAAGCCAACAAAATAAGAAAGAAGTAATAGCTCTTAGACTCAGATTAAGGATACTGAGAGGCATGACAAGAAAGATGCATACGACTGGCAAGATTGCAAGAAGCCTGGTTGTGCCTTTGTGGGCTAATTGACCTATCTTGTGACAGTAGCAGAGTAATGCCACAGCTGATACCCATACCAAGAGAAAGCTGCTCAAATCAGCTCCCATTTTCACTCTCAAGATGTGATTGTTAAAGGAGGCTCTTGCATTCTATATTTGTGAAGTTGCCAATGTTAAAGGAAGTGGCTCAACTCACCTCTCAGACTCTCTCATTAAACACCAGCTACCACTCCCAGTCTTTCTAAATTCTTGACTATCAGTAGTGTCCCTGCCTCAACCATATCCAGCGATATTTTGAACCACCTTCTTTAGCCGTCAGTTCCCTGCTTGACTTGGCTGCTGCTATTCGCATGGTCGATATTATTATAGCTAGCAATATAGGTGGAGTACTAATTGCTCTCGTCGACTGAGTTATGGCTGAATGAGACAACAGGTCAACCTGTACGACAGGCAGCCCAGCCGGGAATAGCTTGATGAAACGTACACGCTGCTGCTAATGCAAGTGATCAAACAGAACATGTGAAGCGCCAGTGAGCAGAAAGCCCAACACGTGATAGGGAGTTTTTAAAAGTTTATTTCCATTTGTTTTTAATTTGAAAATATTCTATACTAATATTTTTTTTATTTTGATATGTTAATATAAAAATAAAAAAAATATATATTTTTTAATATATTTCTTCTAGTAAGTTTGGCATTCAAGTTTCTTATTTGTTTGTGAAATTAACAACAAAAAGGGATAAAATATGAAGGCTTGTGCGGTGTGTTATTTCTAGATCTTTTATAGAAGCATTATTAGTCAAAGGAAGAAAAAATGAATTCTTGAGCATTTTTTTTCTATTTACAATAATAAGTTCTGATAGATTTAAAAAACTTAGCCAATTTAATTCCATTTTATATTTACTGATCAATTAAAAACAATAAAATAATGAATGAAAAAGTCACCTCATAATATTACCATTCAATACACAAATATGTTTTAAAATAATTTATTCGAATTTAGTTATTTTGTATGTTCAAATCCTAAGTTTCCATGTTCATGAACCGTCAATTATATGCACAAAAGAAGTTACTAAGTAGGAACGAGCGATGGAATCAATAAAGTCTAGATGGCTTCTAACAAGTTTTCCTTTATATTTTTCTTCCTTGATTATTATTATTATTATTATTATTTACACATAAATATTTTTTTTCCTAGTTAGTAATGACAAATACCAAAATATTTTTATACTAAAGCACTCCTATCATCTTTATTTAATTCGAAATTTATGCATCAATCAAAACTAAATCTCTATTCTAAATTAAATGGTATTAAAATTACAATCTCTACATTAACTCAATATATTTTAATAAATAATAAAAAATACACTAGAATTTTAAAATTTCAATCCCTTTTTCCTTTCCTTTCCTTTTCTTTTTTTTTTTAGAAAAGACACAGAATTTTTTTTCATGAATTCACCCTATTCATTTTTTTTAGTTCTATCCTCTTATCTTTTTAATGATGTGGTCCATGTTTGCTCAAATTATAAAAAAAGAACTCTAAAAAGAAAGTGTTTTATGATAGATTATGAAGTAATTTATTGTGGACGATCACCGTGTAATTATTACATTGCTATTCTCTGCACAGAGTGTTTGCCTTACTGGTCAAGGTAAAATGATATTTTTTCAGGAGTTCAAAAGTCATTTTCAAATTGATTGAAAATAATTTAATAGTTTATATTTTGTTACACAATTGAACTATATAAATATTCTTAAAAGTAAAGAAAAATGAAAGGCTAGGAGGTATATATTAGTATTTTCCATATGTTTTTTTTTTAATTTTCATGCTCTAATTGGATTAGGAAAAAATTAGTATTTTCATAAATAAATAATAATAAAAATAAAAATAAAACGTGCATGGGCTAGCAAGTGCATGCCACCTTTGTCATTTCAGGCATTATATGTCAACTAAAATTTTTTAACCATCGTGTCGTCTGAAATGTCTAGTCGAATCAAAATTGTTGGGGTTGTGTATGCTGTTCAAATCTTGATGAATGGTGGTTGGATTTTTTCTCACCCTTCTGTGAAATTCACAACAAGTCAACCAAAAATTCACATTATGGTTGTTCTTTTATTTATTTTATTTTTTAATTTTATTTTTTATAATTAAAAATTTTATTCAATATCTATTATTTTTTATAAGATTATCTTAATTTTATAATTAAAATTAATAATTTTACATATTAACTTAATTTGACTTTTTTTTTAAAAAAATTAATTTTATCTTATGACATTAAACTATGAAGTCTTAAGTTTTTTTTTTTTGTTTTTTATATGGTTATTCAGGTGTACGGGTTAGTTAAGTTACTTCAAATTTCTTTAAATTTATTGTTTTTTAAATTTTATTCTTTAACAGGTCTGGAGATTTTTGATTTTTTTGATTTTTTATTTTTGTAATATTATTTAATACTGCAGATTTGTTAAAATAACCCTACAACATACTGTTTTTTTCAATACTATTTTATTCATTTAACTTTCAAATTTTATTAATATTTATTATTTTTTTATATCTATGTGTTTTTAAAAGATACTTATCCTAATTTCATGTAATAGATAGCACGTGAATAAAGTAAACTCAATTTAACTTTTTAATAAATTTTTATCCTTTTAAATTTCATCTTTTAAAACTAATTTTATTGAGTAGCTTCCTAATTTTTTTGTTTTTGAAGTTATCCAGTGTTACATGTTAATTAAAATATTCATTGAAATTTTTTTTATTCAAGGCCAATCATTAAAAAATTATTTATTTTTTAAAAAATTATTTTCTTAAAATTCACTTTTCAATAAAAATTACTTTTCACTATGCAAATATAACCTAAATATTTGTTTAGATTTTGTTTTTTATGTTTAAAATAATGACAAGCCCGACACTACCGGAAAAAAATAGAGTACATAAACCATACTACAACGACCATGCTTATTTTTGTAATTTCATAATCAGAACCGCTATTCAATCAATCAATCAAATCTTTGGATATTTACAAGCCAACAGATTTTTTGAAAAATCCAAGGAAAACACGCATGACCAGCTTCCTTCAAATACCCGCGTACAGCCGCGTACTCATCAATTGCCCTAACACCTGCTTTACACGCAAGAAATGGTGGAAAAAACAGCCAAAAGCCGGTAGCTATCACAAATCCAATGGTCAATATAGTTTGTATCGGCCTGGGAAACTGCCACCTGCCGTTAACAGCCCTTTTCAAAGCAATCTCGACCGGTAAACACACTCCATGTAGCAAAAAGAACCAAGTGATCTCCCACGTGGGCTTCACGCGTCCTAGGTAGTAGAAAATGAGCTCATGCATGAGCGCAGACACTAGAAAGGTCCCCAAAATTGCTACGCCCTGGGCCCACCTACGACCAATGAAGTTCTTACACGTGTAGATGATGGGATCGTACACAATCGGGCGCAGGATGCTTGTTACCATGAGGTTCCATCTTCTCCCCCAAAAGTCTTGAAGTGAAGTCGAGAGATAAGGGTCATTGAATTGTGGCTCTAGCTCAAGCCCTGAAAGGGTTCGAACCACCGATGCCAACATGGCTAGGAATATTTCAAGAAAAAAATATATGTGGAAACAATACAAGAGCCACATGATTTTTGGATGGATATAATCACTATAGTCATATGTAGCTACCAACATTGCCAAAAGAAGACCTTTGGTTGCATAATTTAGGAATGATTTATGAGGGCCCTTTCTAGAGATTAATTTTTGCCTATCATGGCCATTTAGATGTGATTTTTGAGATTGGTTTCCATGGCTATGGCCATTTAGATTTGGTTTTTGAGGTGGAATTTGCAGGATTTTGATGGGAAAACAAGCAACAGAAACAAAACGACCAAAAGAGATTTTTGGGTCTAAACACAAAGGGCCTTTGCCAAACGCAAAAAGCAAGAGCTTGAAATTCGCAAGCCAAGCAACGAAGAAAGCTGTCATGCCTCCAAAATGAATAGAGGTGAGTTCTAGAGGAAGAACAAGAAATAGACAAACAATTGGTAGCACGCAGAGAAGTCTTGTAAGACCTTTCGGGATCATCTTTCCTATGATATAGCAGTAAGTTAGAGATGCAAAGATTGAGAGCCATACCTTCATCATGCTGTTCATCTCCCCATCTTCCATTTTTTTGTTTCTTCCCTTCCCTTTGATTTTTTGCACTCTTGTGCTCTGTACAAGAAGAGAAGGAGAGGCCAAACCTTTTTGGATCGACCCTTTAGATGAATAAATATCTAACTGAGTACAGAAAACATGGAAGGCAAAAGGATGTAAAACGGTTGATCCACGTTTGTCTACAGGCAAGCGTTTACATTTACATGAAAAAGGCGACTCTTGGAAGAAAGAATATAGTGGCTTCCACTAGTTTCTGGGAAGCACACTGTTTTCTTCTCCGTTTCTGTGCTTGAAAACCAACTGCTGGATGCCAGATGCGGTGCTCCACTCACTTTTGAAAAGGAATAAAGGTAAGGAGTCTTTTAAGCTGAAAAGAAGAGATGGACACGACGATTCATGTGCAAAGTGGAGATTGTCTATGAGCGACAAAGATCACAAATTAGCACTTGTGTACTCTCTCCTATTTGAGTCATTAATGGCCATGATTGTGCACCGACAATAGTCTGTTTCAGAATTAATTAAGAATTATTATTCCCGGAAAAACTAGAAGAGGTATTTCGTTTCACGGATTTTTTTTTTAGAATTTTCAAGTTGGTTCTTTTAACTTCTTTTTTTTTTTCATAATTAAATCTTTTTGAACCTAAATTACATCCAATCATTTTTTCTTTAAAGAGTCGAGTTGAAAGATAAAGAATTAAAATAACGAGACTTACTGGATTCGAAAATTGATTGTGAAAGTTGTCATTAACTGTAACTTTAATTATTAAAATGATTATTTAGATACATTTAAATTGAGTGTTTTTTCTTTATTTTAAAAACGCCCAAAAAACAGTTTTGGTCTTGAAAATATTTTTATTTCAAGTTAATTTAGGTTTTAAAACTTTTTTTTATGTTTTTGAAGTCATGAATTAATTTAGCAAGATTTATAATATATTTTCTAAATGTTTTGGGTCAAAATAAATTTTATAACTATAATATAAGTTTTTTAAATGAAATATCATTTATTTTTTTCAAATAATTGAGACGGATGAATTATTATTCACCCTATTAACTTAATAAGAAATTAAAGCTTGTATGTGTAGGCCTTTTCTTAATAAGTCAAACACTAGATTGACTTATTAGGCCGACAGTATTTTATTTTATTTTTTAAATGTATTTTATATGTATTAAAAAAAATTTAAATAAAAAATATTTATTTTTTTATAATATTTTTAATACAAGTAGTGTTGCATAGTATTTTTTTTATTTTATTTAATAATTTTATGTGTATATCGATTTATATTACAAATTCATTTTAATAAATAAATTTATTAAACATAATAAAAAATTAAAAAAATCAATAATTTTCTATTAAAAGAAGAAATAGCATGATTAAGATTTTCTTAGAGATACCCTGTGAAGAATTACTTCATGGGAATTTCTTTTGGAAAAAAAAAAAACATAAAACATAAAAAATGGTTGGCCAATTTTGTTTGTCTTGATTCATGATTAAGGAAATTACCAGGCTGATGTCACGCAGTCATAGTGGGAAAGGAGGAAAATGTACAAGTTTCCATTTCACAAGGAAAAAAAATTCATTGATAACAAGTTTGAATTCTTTTATAATTACAGGAGATTTAAATAATTTTTAATTTTAAAATTTAATGATTAATTATTAATTCAAATATTCATATTAATAAAAAAATCCATGTATTTATAGATTGGTTTGTCTTTATTACTTGAGTGCCTACATAAATAGTCGACCCATCAAAGGAAACACGTTTGTATTCCACATGATATGATTTGACTTTGGAACCATAGCTTGCTCGAGTGGTTCATCTATCTTTATTTCACAGTGGAAGACATCAACTCTCGGTCTAAATTTAGCCGTTGTCTCCTGTCGTCGTTGTAAAAACCTGATGACTTAAAAATTGTTCTTTAAAGGGTATGAGAACCGCCCGGTTTTAATTAAGGTGCTGTTTGTTTACGCGGCTACGGCTGCGTTTTAATTAAAACGCAGTCTGCAGTCGTTTGGTAAAGAAAAAAATCAGTTTATTGTACATGGTCCTATATAACTTTTACGTTTAAAACACAGTTAATGAAAGACTGCTTTTCATTCACTGTACACGTTAATTGTACTGTTCAGTGAACAGTGCAATTAACATAAACAGTGCAATTCACTGCACTGTTCACAGTGAATTGCACTGTTCACGTGAACAGTGCAATTAACGTGTACTGTTCATATGGTTTTTATTTTTTTTTCATTTATAATGTAATTATAAAGAGTTTAATAAAATAAAAAAAATATTTTATATAAAGTATTATTTATTTCATGATATAATAGGAGTAATTAATTCTATAATAGTTAAATTTAAAATCATCAATATTAATATATATTTTTAAAAATTATTTTATAACTTCAATTTAAAAAAAAAATTTAATCAAACACATTAAATTACTTTTTTTTCAACTTCAATTTCAACCACAGTTTTAATCAAACATCTATTTTTTCAAACCAACCTCAATTAAAAGTACTTTTTACAAAATAACTTTTTTCAAACCACAACCACAACATCTACCGCAATACCAAACACACTCTAAAAAGAAAATCTTCGGGTTTTGAGTTTCTAACAAGTCAATCTTAAAATTAATCGAGTTAACAAGTTAATCTGATACTTTAATTAGAAAAATTAGATTTTTTTTTATTTTCTCTCTACCCTGAACTGATCAAGACTGGCTAATTAACTATTAGATACAACTAAAGTTTTACAACTAAATTTTTTTTTTTCAATGAAAGCTTTAAAGGACGGTGGATCTAATATGGATGGTCTTATACATTATTTAATTATAATGGTGAAAGAGAATCTTACCTTATTTTATATAAATAAATAAATAAACAAATGGATACAGAATTGTTCAATTAAATCTCCTGTTTTTTGGTAGAACTTAAATAAGAAAAGATTTTCATAGAGGAACTGCAATGAGGTTTATTTTAGTGATTTTTGTACAAAAATAAACAAGACAACGACTGCCCCCCTTCCCCGATACATGCACAGAATAAAATCTGAAACAACTCCCTTTCTTGATAACTAAATAAAGAGAAAATTTTATTGTAGGCTATTGAGAGAACAAGAGGGGGAGGCATTTGGGACCGACCATGAACTCATCATAGACAAAAAAACAGGAAAAAAAGGAAGATCGACGAAAACCAAATCTAATAGGGTTGAAGCATACCACTAGCATCATCACCCAAAAGAACCATGACAAGAGGTAACATACGTAAGTGCAGAATCAACCTCAGATTTTAACATGGTGTGTAAGTTCTTCAAGCCTTGTTCCCTGACAAAACACCAACCAAGGTTTCAAATGCCACATATGAAGATCCACCCTCCAACAATGCTTTCCTGCCAGTTTCACTCATTGCTTTAACCTTGCTTTTCACGTCACTAGCACCTTCAATCACATCCTTCACTGCTTTTGCTACTTGGCCTGCCTTCACAACCTCACCGCCATCCTTCCTGTAATCCATTTTCATTTCAATTGCCACTCCGGCGTCCTTTACCAATTGGAATGCATTGATTTGTTGCTCACCATACAAGGGCCATGTTACAACAGGCACACCATACCAAGTACTCTCCAAAATTGAGTTCCATCCACAATGGGACACAAACGCACCTGTGGCTTTATGGGCTAAGACTTCAACTTGAGGAGCCCACCCACAAATAAACCCTACATTTTTTGTCCTGCCCAGAAACCCTTCTGGCAAAAGCTCACTAAAATCATTAACTTCACCGGGGTTCAAAGATTCTTGAGAAGGTGGCCTCCTGATAGACCACAAGAACCGTTGGCCACTTTGCTCAAGCCCAAGTGCAATCTCTTTCAATTGAAGCACACCGAAGCTCCCTTGACTTCCAAAGCACAGAAACACCACTGATTTCTCTGGCTGAGCATCGAGCCACTTCATGATCTCTTCACGTTGGTTCCCATCAGCTACAGGACTGTTTCCCTTGTGATCAACCACTGGCCCCACAGTGTAAACATGGGGTACACCTGCCTCGCCATTAAGATAGTTAACAGCATGGGATTCTAGCTCTGCAAATGTATTGACAATGATACCCTTTGCCTCCTTGAATTTCCTAGCATGGCTTACGAAAGTTGAATACCCACCATCATGGAACAACAAACTTGGCAACACCCTGGAGGGAACTGGGTTGATGTAACTAGGGATAATAGAGTCAGGATCGGTTGGTTTGTAGGTGACTCCTCCCTTGTCAAATCTATCAGGAAGGTAAAGCATGGAACCAAGAAAAGCAGCACCAGAAGCAAAGAAAATATAAGAAGGGACACCAAGGTCTTTGGCAACATCAACAAAGGCAGTACAAAACAAATCAAGAACCAAACCAGCAAGTTTAACTGACTTGTTGGACAAAACATGGTTGACAATCATATCCTTAACATGGTTCTTATGATCCGCAATGAAAACTGACACAAAATGTTCAGGACAAGCAAGAACATCTTCTAGGGGTGGTGGGGTTACAGTAGGAAGACCAAGGAATTGAAATTCTGGGTGAGATGCATTAAGTTTCTCAACATAGGTCGTAACATCATGTGCAAATGGTGGGGACATAAGAAGCATTGTGATGGAGAAACTGTCATCTCTTTCAAGCAAACGTTTTGCAAACTCCATGACTGATACAAGATGACCAATTCCTGGTGCTGGGACGAAGACCAGTGCATTCTTGGTTGTGGTGGTTTGAGCGGGTGCCATTTTTGGCGGATAAGGAAGGTTTTTGGCTTCTGTGTGATTTCTTTTTTTTGGATAAATAATATGGGATTGGGTTATGGGGCACTATATATAGTCGGAATTCAATGCTCGTTTGCTCTGAAATTTGGTTGAGAATATATTGATCTTCAACAGCTCAGTGCTGCCATGCGTTGACGGTTAGGTGAAGAAAAAATAGGGTCCCTAGAGAGATTTTTTTATTAATTTATTTTACAATAATTATGTAAGGACTCTATCATATAATAATTGTTTTTGGAAAAGGTGACTGTAATTGATATTTAACCAAGGAGAAGCTAAAAGGTGTTGTCCCCACTTCAAGAAAAATGAGGATAAATAGCTGTGAATTATGTATTCCAAAAACATAATAATTCTTAAATACGAGAGTATAAAATTTAAAATATTTTATGAACTAAATTATTTTTTTATTGTTTCATGCTTCGAGATAAAAAAAAATTAAAAAGAAAAAAAAAAAAGCAAGAGAATG